CTTAGCAGGTTAAAATAATAATGACCACTGAAGGAGCTCGGGCGTGGTGGGGTGACTGGCACATTTACAAAGCTCTTCTGCTCCCTGTCACGTCCACCAGAGTCCCTGGGTTGTGTTCAGTGGACCGATGGGCTGGGCTGGAAAATCCAAGATGGCCTTCGTCCTGCAGCCCAGGCTCCCTCGGGGTGGCCTCCGGCTCTCCCCAGGGACGGCTTCTGAGAACGAGGCGCTGAGAGCAGCCAGTGGGCTTTAAGGAGAGTCCTGGACCTGCCACAGCCTTGCTGCTGCCACGTCCAGCAGTCACAGTGACAAGGTCATCTCAGATCTCAAGGGGGGGAAATAGATTCTACTCCTTCAAAGCTGGAGTAGACAAGAGGAGGGAAATAAAGAGTGGATATTTGGTTTTTTGGCTATTAAAGAGAAAGAGAAGAGGAAAATATATATATTGACCGGTTATACACTTGATCTCTAAAATGAACACCACTTTTAAATTGTATTTTCAAGAGGTTTTTTGTGTGCCTAGCAGGACGCTAACCATGGTATACAAGGGGGATCTATTACTTGTCACTAGAATTTTGTTGGTTTTATAGCTCTGTGGTGTTTTTCATATTGGTTCTTAGTCCCCAACGGGATACAGCCTAAAAAAAGGAACAATTAAGCCTTCCCGAGTCAAGTGGAGTCAAGGCTATGACAAAAACCGCGTCTCACACTGAAGATGATCAGCGAGTAGAAATGACAGTGGCGTTCAGAGTGCTGCCCAGCCCGGAAGCAGGTTTTAGTTGAAGGTCAGCACTTTCCTTTGAGGTTCGCCGCCTTCCTGCCGAGTTACCTTAGCTCAGGTAGCATCTAACCCCAGTGCCACCATCTGCGCAGTGTCAGGAAGATGCGTCTGTGGTGGCAACTCGGGATTATCAACTGAATGGGCAGAATGGTGTCCCAGGTTACCTGTCCTGGGATCAGCAAGTCTCTGTAAATGGCCATCATTCACATGCATGCTACTGGGGCCTTAAGGAAACCAATAACGCTGTTCCCATTTTCCCAGTTTCCTAAGTTCGAGGGAAGACAGAAAGTGCAGTCCATTTTGCCATGCACTTTAACACAGCTAATGGAAACATCAGCTTGTTTGGGGATGGAAACTAAGTCAGAAGACGTGACTTAGCTCTGCGGTGATCTCAGGCTTGCCTCTCCCAGGTGCGGGGCGGGCCCCCTGCAGGGGTCTGCCTGGAAGACCAGACCAGACCAGACCGACCAGCAGCCGCTGCTGCAAAAGGCTGGCTTTGGAAAGAGAGAGGCAGTCAGGGCTGAGTAACGGAGCTGGCTGCCCTTCCCAAATTTGCAGATCAATTCACTCTTCTCCAAGGAGGAGGGAGCGAGCGGGCAGAGCGAAAAGCCAGGGGTGCTCAGAAAACCTCCTTCTTACAGAAGTCCGGTGAGTGGAGACCACCTGTCCTCACAATGACCGTTCCTTTTAGTAACTACGCAATGTCAGCGGATTCGAAACATGCACGCGTCTCGGCCAGCCAGAGTCAGGAGCTGCTTACTGGGCCCTTCCGCTGCCTAGTTCACTCTCCTTCATCGCTTTTGTGAGCGCAGAAAAATCTCCAGGAGTTTTAAAATTCAGGGAGAGAACCGAACACACACACACACACACACACACAATGTGAAAATTAAAAACGGAAAAATGTGAACGACGGACCTCACAGGGGTCGGCCCTCTGTCTGCACAGAACCCAGGGGCCGCCTCCACAATGTCAGCTGGATCCCCCCACCCAGGGTTGGCAATGTGGAGAGGAAGCTGGTTGGAACGACAACAATAACAACAACAACAAATAATAATAATAATAATAGTTTTTCTCTCACGTCCTGGGATAGCAAACGTGGCTTCAAAACCCAACAAAATATCGCCAAGTTTTTCCCCTTCAGGGAGATGGCAACACATGTTCTCCAAGAGCCGATGGTGGGCGTTTATCCACCCACCCAGCGGGGTCTTGGAGACCCGGAGCACCCAGCCCCCGCTGCCCAGTGGAGTTGGTGGCCTTGAGAAACCCCGACTTCACCCCAACTGGCGCCCTTCGCCCCTGCCCCAGCCCTGGCCCCGGCACCCGAGCGACCCAGTGGGTGCCCGGCAGCAGCAGGCTGCACCGGCCCTGTGTCTCTCGGCCTGGCAGGCTGGCCGGCAGGGGGGCCGGGAGGAGCCCGTGTCAGGAAACCGGCAGCTGCTCGTACATCACGGTCATTAGCGGAGGGTCTTTCCGGACCTTTGCCCGGCGCACCTTGCTGCGGCAGCAGGAGACGGGCCATAAAACCCTCGGCCCTGTCAGCCGTTGTCACTTAGGCGAGAATTTATCAGGGCTCCCGTGCCCTCCGACTGCAGGATTATGAATAATGAATGAAGCTTTATGCGACGCCGAAGCACTAATAAGACGCGATGGCTGGGGGCAGCGCGTGCCCCTCAGACAGGGCCGCTCCTGGGGCCGGCGCCGCCGCCGCTGGGGGCCGCCGGGGCGCATCTGGGCCGGGAAGGCTGCGGGGGGCCAGGATGAGCTGTCCTGTCCCAGAGGCCGCCCGTGGGTGGGAGTGAAGGGCCAGGGACAGAACCGTGGGTCCAAGCCTGTGCAACTGGAGGAAGCAGGCATCAGGGGCCTTCGTAAAAAATCACAGTGTTTGGGGGCCACCATCTCTTACGGTTCCCCCGGAGCAAGAGTCCAGTGGGGGGTCGTCAGCCTGGTGGGGCCGTTCTGGGAGAGAAGTGCTTGGCAGGACAAACGGGTTTGCGGTTTGCGGCTGGGAGAGGCGGGCTTGGCCACTTCTCCAAGTGAGCCTGGGGCAGTGTGGGTCTCCCCGAGAGGAGTGAGGGGCTCTGTGGGAGGCTGAGTGGGGGAGGAGGGCAGGGGCCTGGCTGCCGGGACGTCAAGTTCAGACCCATCTGCAGGGAAGTCACTCCCACAGCTGTAGGGTCCCACCTGCCCTTCCGGGGAAGCCCACGTGGCAACCAGGATGCTCTGTGTGCCTCCTTTCGGGGTCCCCAAGTTGTATCGAAAACCGAGGCCACCTGAGTGTCTCTCTCCGGAAAACACGGTGGAACGGAATGATGTAGACAATATTCTCTGCCCCTCCGATTTTCCACATAGGCTGGGCTAGTCGTGGAACATATTTTGCCGTTGTAAACATCACAGACACGCTATGTGCATCAGCAGGGACCCAGGGCACCGTCACAAAAATCTAACGGCTGACCTAAATGCACAGAGAACAGCGTAGGAGGGAACATTTCACTTTTTAGTAATGATCGGTCCTGAAAATGTCTGTGGGCCCAGGGGCAGGCATGGCAGAGGGGACTTTCGTGGTTTTTATTTCACAGTCTTGTGTTTGATTTCTTCCAGGGACCGTGTGTTAGTTTTATAATAAAGGCCAATAAAAGATGCCCTTGGTTTCCCACCCACAGTGGTGGCATCTTAGGCATTGAGGTGGTGAGAGAGGGGCTTTGGGTTGCGGTGCCCCCTAGGAAACTTGGTCCAGAGAATGAGATGACAGGTTGGTGGAAGAGCATCCCTGGCAGAGGGAACAGAGTATGCAAAGGAACAGAAATGGAAAAGGGACTGGTACCCCCCACATCTTCCCCAGGCTGTTCACTCCTTGCCACTAAATGATTTCCGAGCACGCTGTCCCTTCTGTCCCAAGGTGACTAGCTACCGGTGTGACTTCCGGTTTGAGCCTGAACAAAGGGACCACGAGGGAGGCAGTGTGGCTGTGTGAGCAGTGATGTGTTTGCAACCTGACAGAGTCCCCCTCACACAGCAGGTACAGTTGAAATATCGTGGGAGGAAAGAGCAAACAGACAGACGGAAGGACGGACGGACAGGGAGCGCCAAAGCTGTCGTCAGAAGAGATGAGTTCTGTTGAAAGAGCTCGTTAACCCAAATTGCTGCATATTTGGCATGAGCTACAATCTTGGAACAGCTGGGTGAAAAGTTATGCTTAAGGATATTTAAAAATCACCCTGAAATAAGCCAATTGCACCAGTAATAAGAAAACCCAAGCCCTGGCTGGTATAGCTCAGTGGGTTGAGCATGAGCCTGCGAACTAAAAGATCGGGGTTCGATTCCCCATCAGGGCACATGCCTGGGTTGCAGGCCAGTTCCCAGCAGGGGATGCACCAGAAGCAACCATACATTGATATATCTCTCCTTCCCTTCTAAAGATAAATAAATAAAAATTTAAAAAAGAGGCCTTCTTTAAAAGAAAAGCCTGCTTGTATAACCACAGAAAAATTTAAAGATTAAATTGATCATAATTCAGACACATGTTGATGGGAAAGTATAAATGCATTTCAATGTAAACATATTAAATAAAATATGTTAAGACCATGATGAAATCAGTTTAGCCCTTTAGTGGAATTTACAACTAAAACTAAAGAATTAATCTCATAACAACGAAAGGTTGAAAATATTTGGGGATCTTTCTATGCATTAGAGAAAGAGAACTATTTCCAAACAGAGTAAATCATAGCCTTCCATTTATGAAAGAATTAATTTTAACATTTATGAAGTGACACAAGTCCTTACTTGATGCTTGTTATTTAAGTTGAAATTTGTCTTTATTTTTCAATTCTTGAAGTTTAGTTAATGAAAGATGGTTTCTCCAAGGTGCTCAAATATGTTGATTTTAAATAAAGCATGGCTTCTATGATAAATATGTAATTAACCTTTCCAGCCTTACCAAACATGCATACTGTATTATTTACTGGAACAGTGGGAGTGACTTAAAACTCTCCACGTTATTACCTAATTAGGAGGTTTCCTCAAATGAGGTTCAGGTGCTCAGACCAAAAAATGTCTGGTTTTTCCTGCCAATATAGAATCAAACTGTAGACATTCCAATAAAGTTGTGGCTGAAACCTCATATTAAATATACTGAAAACACACACGAGATGCCAGTTAGGTTTGAGGCGAATGAGAATTTGGTAAACATTACATCAACTGACTTTACTAGCAAAAGACTTACCTAATATTGCATAAATCACAAGGTGAGAAAGTGAAAATCGACCTCTTCTCAAAAGCACAGAAATATCAGGTCAACCTAAAACATTTAACTTTGTTATAGATTTGAGTCTTACTTTCAGAATTATATTCTAATCACATTAATATAGTCAGTCACTTTCTTTACCTCCTTGTAAAGTTATGGAATTTCTTCTAGGCATGAAGGATTGGATTATCCATTTATTTTTGTAGTAGTAAATCTTACAAACCAAGCCAAAGATTTCTTTGTGGATAAATAGTTACTTATCTTAAAATAGGGGGGGGTCCCTTCAAAAAACACATTTGCCTCTTGACTTAGAGTTATAGAGGGAATACCAGTCGGGCAGATTTTTCAAGAACAAGAAAAAATGTCTTCCTCGAGTCTCCCTAAAGTGGACACTAAGGGACATTTGCCACAATGTCCTGTGTTTTCAACCTTCTCAATAAAAGTCAATGTTATTGGTGCCCAAGTTCCATTCAGTGAAAGGGCGCTTCCCAAGGTCAAGTTCTGGGGATCAGAGTTGTAGCTTAGTGATGAACTGCACGGATTCCAGGGTGAATTTTCCACGCCCATCAATGAGTAGAGTACACATCACTTAGGCCAGCCTCCCAACCTCCCAGACTTCTTAAGAATGGAAAAGACACAGCTCCGGGGTTTGTCCCCTTCGCCAAACCCTGGAAGGTGGGCACCCCTTCGCCAGCGAAGAGGAAATCCGTGAACTGTACTGTTTACCACGTCACCGCACGAGGCGTGTAGAAGCAGATTTTACCACAGGTGATAATGTGGCCCAAGGAAGTCGCTCACCGAGCTTCGGATCCACAGGGAAGCACCTTCTACTCTTCCCCTTTGTCGAAAGACCTCACAGCTTAGTTCCTTCTGAACAGTACTCTTTGTAAAATCTTTTACCAACTCAAATACTTACTGCCCTGGAATGGGTACGGGCCCAGGTTCTGAAGCCATGTTCCACCCAGTTCCGTAGAAGGGGTTGCACACTCATTTTGGAAAAGCCCTACCAATGGCAACTTGCCTCTTCATCAAAATGTCTAGCTTACCCTTTCTGGTGGCAGGAGCTGAGCTGTAACGAGCAAGTCAAGTGCAAAGGGACCTGTGGCTCAATAAAACTGAGGTGTCCTCAGACACAAATGCTGCTCTGCAGAGAACACACGTGTTGGAAAAGGCATACGGTGAGTATACCCTTCTCTGAGCTGATTACAAGGTACACATAAAAACGCCACCCCACCCCCCGACATTTTAGATACCAAGGTTCAGCCTAGGTCAAAGTCTCACGACTAAGTTGTAAATCCCAGAAAATCGTTATTCCTGAAGCATCAGCAGGAGCCCGAGAGGGAACTGCTGGGCTGCTGAGTGAGAACATAGGAGGCGGCCCAGGGGCAGAAAGAGGAAGCGATGCCCTGGGCCTAACGTAGCTATTATCTAATTATGACCAATGCATTCTGGGTCGGTGGAGTCTGTGCTACAGAACACATCACTGCGGCCATCGTTTGGAGGCTAAGCAATCCCTAGTGAGCATTGGAATGTTCCCATTATCTGCTTTGGCACAATAAACCACCGCAAAACCCAGTGGTCCAGACCACAGTCGTCTATCTCACCATCATCCTGCCGTCTAGACTGGGCTCAGGTGGGTGCTGCTGCTTCTGATCTAACCTGAGGTCATGTGTGGTCAGGGTCCTTCACTGACTATGGCTGGAAATCCACGGTGGCTTCCTGCACATGTCTGTCACCTCAGTTAGGAGGGTGGGACTATGCTGGCTACCTCCCTCTGTGCACATGATCGCTTTCTTGGGTCCAGGACAACCCCTGGGGGTGCCAGGTCCCCCGAACACCCAGACACAGAACGGGCACAGCCCCACTCCATCCACACACTGCAATGGATGCAAGTCACGCTGCCAGCCCAGCCTCCAGGGCGGGGACAGGCTTTGCTTCTGGGAGGGAAGGGCTGGGGAATAGGTACAATCACCTTCCACTTCCCGGTGAGTTTTAAAGAAAACAGCGCACGACGTTACCTCTGGAAAACACCAGCCTCGGTGCTGCGGAATACCCTCCCTGCAATACCACCCTGCAGGGTCTCAGAAGTCGAGCTTAGCAACATCTGCAAGGAAAAAAGAGAGAGACGTCATACAAAGAGACGGTGACAGTATATGTAACATCTAAAAAAAGAGTGAAACACATGTAGGAAAATGAAGGAGACACGCCCAACTCTGCCTGTCACACACGTTGTCACCCTGAATATTCCATTCCCCGTCACCACCGTGACAACGTCCCACGGAGTCCTTAATCTGTCATTAGTCCATCCTCCCACCCATCTGTTCAGTCAGTCACCCGACACACACTGGTGTGTGTCTTCTGTGTGGCAGATACTGTGCTGGCCCCCAGGGATGCAACAACGCACAACCGGCGCACGGCCATCTCCTTCAAGACACCAGCAATTCTGTGACGACAGCAAAACTGAAGGGGTGACAGGAACACAGAGAGTGAGGGCTGACCCCAGCCTCGGCAGGGCCGCGCTGCGAGATGAGATTCCCAGAGAGAACGTGAGCTGGGCTTGAGCGACATGAGTAGGACTTAACTGGGTGCACGGAACAGGTGCCAAGTCAGGGAGGCAGGAAAAAAGGTGGAGCTCAGGAAACAGAGTCGCTCCGTCTGAATGGTGAAGATGGTGCGTGCAGGAAGCAGGCTGACAGTAAGGCCAGAGATACAGGTAGGACCTCATGTCACCCTGAGAGACTGTATTTTAACCAGGGTTTGCATAGATAAGGGCACTGAGGACCAGAAGGGGCACCCCAAGCCGCCCCAGTCCTGAAGGTCATGGTGGCTCTCTTCTCTGTCCTGAGCACCATCTTCCTAGTATTGTAACCACCCCAGAGAGTAGTACCACAGGGAGACAGTCTATTAAATGCTTCTTAGGGCTAACCAGTAACCCTTAGTTACTGCTCTTCAAAATCTCTTCCTCCGCCCGAGTATGAGATGGTGGGGACGCAATGGATCTTCATGCAGGGTGACTGAGCGCAGGGAGGGAGGGGATGGGGCTATTAACATCACACCTAGAACCGGCATTGGCACCATGGAGGAAGAAAAGGGGAAGAAGCAGCTAAAACAGAGAGAAGGAAATGCAACATTCCTTCGCATCTAAGACCTAGAAACCGATCCCTTTGTCCTGGGTGGGCATGGGAAACACAGAAAGAGTTGCCTAACAGCCCAGCAGAACAAACAATGCATGTGATGAGAGTTAGCCCAGTGGTAAGTACGGAGGGCAATTCATAAAGACTACATTAAATTAATTCATATAAGCCACACCCATTGCGTATGGAGTACGTCCCGGGCACATGGGTAGATGCAAGCGATAGAGTGACGGATGAAGTAGAGGACCACCCTGCGTTCTCGGTTCTTACCATTCTTCTCCCAACTGTTTGATGGAAAGCTTGTAATCCGTCGCCAAGACCTGATGTTCTTAAGGATCAAGTGAGAGAGGGAAAATGGGACTTTTCCTCTCTAGGAACTTAGAAATTCACAACAGCTCCTCCTAACCTCAGCTCAGCTGAGATGCTGTGAGGACTCCCATATGGCCGTGAGGTGGGTTTTTCCCTTGTTCATGGGAACAAGTTCATGGGGAAGAGGCGGAGACAAGAGAACCAGTGTTGAAGACCAGTGTGGGACCAGGCTGGGAGAGAGGGCTTCTCTTCTGCCCTCTTCTAAAAAAGAAAAAGAAAAACCTCTGATCGTTACTGTGGACTTAAACCTGAAGTAGACCATAGCAAGATGGCCCGTGAGGGCTGGACCACTCTCTAACAAACACTCTTCGGTGGACATTAAATACCATGAAGGTACTCAATTCAAGAAGTCCACAGTTTTTCCTACTTCGAGGGGCATTTGTAACTGAGTTTCAGTTTACCCCCTGTTTGGACCTCAGTCCCTAAGTTGGGTACAGCCCACTGGGGAGACCTAGTGCCCAGGGGTTTGAGGTGGGCTTTGGGGTGATGTTCTAGAGAGCGTCTTCCACTCCTAACTGTTCAAACGTCAGGACCTCCGGCACTGCAGGCTCTATTGTGATGCTTTTTAGGCACAGACCTTGTGTGTATGCTGTTCAGTTACTTGAGAAGCTGAGATTCAGCATCGGTAGATGGGATATCCCCCAAAAAGACCCCCGCCTGCTCCTTGGCATCCAAATCAACCTTTGGGGCATGGAGGTGCCCCTAAGAATTCTAATTCTCCCCTCACGGTGTCTCATCTTCTGCAGTTTACCCCCCTCTGCCTGGACACAGTGACAGATGTGACCAGACATTAAATATTAATCAGCTATTTATTCGGGCCAGTTGGGGCACACAATGTGAGTTTAATTACTCTGTGAAGATCAATTAAAATAAGGCTCTCAAAAGACATTTTCTAAAATGTGCATTTCTGCTCCTACACTCTTTAATCTGGCTAATTTAGCACAAGATTCCATGTGTGAAGCCAAACTGTAATTTGGGACTCAGATGGGCTTTTCAGTTTAAGTCCCCTCCTCGCCTCCTTTTTATTTATTATTATGATGGCCAAATGCAACATGCTGTTTTAAGATTCTGTGGATTATAAACATTTATGTCCAATCCTCTTTTAAAAATAATTTTCTTTCCCAAACTTTAAGAGGCTAGACCTATTAAGAAGTTTAAAATTTCCTAAATCTTAATTTAGGTGGAAGAGCAAAGCGGGTACTACCCTCCCACCTTTTACACGCACACGTCCAAGGTCCTGTTTTTACAGAAGAACCTTTTTCCAAATTTATTTCCAGCTAGTTTTGTTTTCCTTGAGGGACCTTTGAAACACTCTATTGCTACTTTTCATGTTTTTTATTTGCCCTGTGGAACACTAAAAGCTCAAAGGTTCATAAATATGCATTCTGTAAATGCATTACGCTGACAAAGTGTTGCACAGATAGCTGTTTTTGCCTTGGGGAGTGGAATGAGTGAGTTTGCAGCTTGAACAACCCAGGGAGGGGAGGAGGAGAGCGAAAAGGAGAGCAGAGGAAGCGAGTAGAGGAAGAAGAGAGTAAATTGGAAATAAGCAAGAAGGAGAAGAAAAAAGGGAAAATCAAAGGGCTACAAACACAGAGAGAGGAAGAGGGAATCCACAGTGTAGGAAAAATGCAAACAAAAGTTAAAGAAAAAAGTGCAATTTTGTTTTATAAGTGTTTTATATGTCAAGAAAGAGATCTAGTTTTCTACCAAAGATCTGAGGTTGTTGGTTTTTTTCCCCCTCTCTTAAAATGATTTAGACAGAGCAAACTGCAGTGTCTATATTCCAATTCGTGCCAGGCTTTTTTAAAACAACACATGAACACGAGATTGTTTGTCCTTATTAATCCTAATTCCCTCCGGAATTTATCTAGTTCTGCATCATTCAACTGCAATGAGATCAACCACGGGACCGGTGATCGTCAACACGCATGGAATGGGAAGATGAACACGTTCTGGTGACAGCAGGGAAACCACCCAAACACACAGAGATGTCGGTGACCTGTGTCAACCAGCAGAAGCGCGGACATCGGCGACTCCGAGCAAGCCTGCCAGGAGTAGAAATGACTCCGTGTGAGCTTCCTTCCTCGTGAGAAAACAACCGGGCATTCTTTACCATCGGAAAATAAAAATTTGTTTTATACCCAAAAAACTATGAAAGTCAGAAAGAAAAGTAAACAAAATAACATCTGTGACTTAAAACACAGTATCTCGGCACGAGTGAACTCACTGAGGAAGACACGGACTAATCTTGGAGGGGCTGAGTAGCTCCAGGCCATCGGTAATTATGACCAATTATTTTCTGCCACAGACGTTTTTATTACTGCTCCGTGAAAATGCTGCACAGCGCCAGGGACCCTGGGCTTGGATCGAAGAAAATGAGTAGTTTATGTAAAATATTTTCACCCTCGGAGCTCGCTGTCGACCTCGCGTCTTTTCTCCTCCACGAATTTGTCAACCACTATTAATTAGACGGGTGGAAACTCCCTCCCAGTGGGCCGCCGTCACGGCGGTCCTTGCGTCAAGATTTCCTCAAAACCCCGTCAGGATGAAGTCCGCATCTCCTTTCCAGCCATCACAGAACTGACGCTTTCATTTGTGTTTCTGCTCCGATCACCGACCGTGGAGGGCCTGACATTATATTCTGCTGTTCTCCGAGGAGTTTGTCATTGCAAAACCATGACCCAGTAAATACATCAGGGTGGATGAGTACTGGGGGGGGGGGGGCAGGTGTGGAGAGACAGAGAGAGGAAGAGAGATCCGAGCACAGCCTGCAGAGCTTAATTCTGCCGGGAAGGGTCACAGAGGAGCTGGTGCGGCAACTGGGTCTTGGAGGTTCATCGAGCAGAGAAATGAACGGGGCAGGGCCCTGAGCAGAGGCCCAGAGCAAGACCTGGAATGTGTGCGGTGAGCTGTTGGGGGTGGGGGCCTCGGGCAGTTAGGGCGTCTGTTCAGAAGGAGGGGGAGCGGATGGGACAGAGGGCGCCGTTTGGGAAAGGCCTAATCAGCCGCACGGCAGGTAGGCCTGTGGCATTGGGGAGTCCGGCCACAGCGCACAGAAAGGCATCGTCTCTGTGCACAGCCCAGTTCACATACACACGTAATAACTACCGCGAAACACTCTCACAGCAAAACGTGCCCTTTCCGTTTGTGAAACGCGCACTTCGACCCTACTGCACCCTGCTTCACTCTGTGAGGGTCTGTCGTGACCCCGCATCGACTGTGATCTCAGTTGGGAAGAAAGTTCACTCTAGACAGTGGGTTTGGGAATGTGACTCACACATGTAACCTGAGCTTCAGACAGAGCATCAGAGACAGAGATGAGACCGTCTGGAAGGGAACGGGCTGGGGGCGGGCAGTGTGGTCAGGGCGCCCCGGGAAGCGGTCTGGGCAGGGTGAAAACGGCCCGAGGCAGGTTGCTCCCGTCTCGGGTGGAGGGGTCTTGGCGGTTTGCTGCGGCGCCCCTCTCTGGGTGGTTCATGTCTCGAAAGAGGAGCTTTAGGAAAAGCAGTTCTTAAGGTGATCAAAGAACCCCCTGCAAGGAAAATAAATGGAGATCACATCTTCCTGGAGCAACTCAAACGCCGTTCCTGGCAGACTC